ACTAATGCTTTGGTATACAGATCTTGTATGAACCAATAATAAGTCATTCAAAACGTTGAAAAATTTCATTGATTAGTTCAAATGAATAAAAAGGAAACAAAAACAAAGAGTCAAGTAGAATGGTCATAGGAAGTGAACCAAAATTTGCGTCAACCAAAATGTAGTCCGTGGTCCACATTATACCAATATGTATATATATATCAAGAATGTTAGCGATAGCTGTCACTATATGCTAATCATCAGTAATATATAAATTTTAGATGAACCGATGTACCTTTACTTCATTGAGTTTTGAGACAACATAAGTGTTTTGAGTTCTACGATAAATAAAGAGTGCATCATTTTAGATTCAACCTAATCAATGTTCGTATCTAATTTTTAAGTGATCGATGAGAATACCATCATCAGTGTTAAAAATAAACTAATTCTATGTGATCAGTACATTTAGATAGGATTTATTGGAAATAATTTTTTTTATATCTGACGTTTTGCTGTAGAATTATAGGAATCATTTAGAGTATTACAGGTACAGTTGAGAGAAAAACCATGAAAAAGAAAATTGAACGAAAAATACAAATTAATAAATAAAAAAATGACTTGATGAAAATTGAGGTTCAACTATTCTTTGTCATCTGATGCCTTTGATTGCACCGGTTTAACCTAAACAATCCAGAGAAAGAATAAAAAAATAATCAAATTATCAGAACTGTGATAAATATTTTATACGTACTGAGAAGAATCTAGTACCATCTTGAATGATAACTTGTGGAATACCTTGTACATTTGAATAAGATACAATTCGCATGGATGGTTTAGCAGTTGGAGTTTGGTTCTAAAAATATATAGAACATTAACATAATTTTATACAAAACTTGCTTAATGAAATCATTTAAAAAATACTCAAAAAAACGAGAAACTTCTAATTAGGCAAGAGAGAAGGACTCAATTTATTATTAAAATATAATATTTATAAAACAGTTATTATTATAATAAACATAAAGGTTGACTTTTACTCAAACAATGATAGGGACAAGTACAATTACAAATACCTGATAATGAAAAACTAAGATTGTACCACTAGTATCAAATAAGTCCATCATTTTTGAGTACGACAGAGGAATTGGTTCTGAATATGTATTACCAACATATTGAATAAATTTATTAGATTCTTGTTTTATAATCGAAATTGTATCACTATAACGGCTAATCAAAAGAATAGCACGTGGTGTATAAGAATATTCAATGTTGTTAACATCGATCAGTTTCAGGTTCGAATCGAAAGCATTCTTTGGTCTAATATTTCGATCAGCGATAGTCTAAAGTTTTTAATAAAAAGTTAATTATTATTCGATGGAACTTATCTAAAACAAATCATTCCAAAATGACATGCTGAAGTCTTCAGGTAAAATATTTAGTGAATGACCAATGAAGCTTAGGAGGAATGAAAAGGTTTGGAAAAAATTTCCGAAGTCGGTAAAATATTTTAGATAGTAGTAAGACGAATTTTTTCGAAGTATTATAGAGTAAACAAGACTTTTTTCTAATTCTTAAAAAAATGAACACTATCTCCTAATCAAGATAATCTTCTGTATACATATGAAGATAAAAAATCAAGCAATAGAAATTCTTACCATTAAACAAATAGGACACTTGAAGAAAGTCTGTTTGTATACGTGCATATCAATACGTCTTTTTGAGGAAAGACAAGAAGAACAATATTTTTCAGCACCATGTTCACTATCAGCACCAGGTACAATTGGATGTGCAATAGCTTTATTGTTCGAATCTACTTTAAAGATGAATATCTGCTTCATTGATGAGAAAACAGAGTCCGTTCTACTACAGCACGAGTAACAATAAAAATAATTTTTTACATGAGCACTGAGAACATCATTTAATTCATTAAGTGAAGGATATGTCCCGATTATTGCACAAGCTTCTTGAAGAGTTATGCAATACGGAATGATGTCAAGTAAAATTGAAGGATCAGCAAATGAACATCGATTGATGGCATGAATTATATTTACTGTATTTTGATTATTAATGCGTTCAAAAATTAAAATACCTGAAGAAATAATAATATTCATCAATCAGTATATATTAAAATAAAGTAGTCAATAGTTAAGTCTTCTCAAAGTATAAAACGAGTTATGAATATCAAATTTTTAAAGACAAAGTTTCTTAAAAGTTTGTCATGAAATTTATTTTGTGTCACTTAATTCTATGTTAAGCTTTCTACACATTCTATAGAAAAAAAATTTATGCTTACGACAATGACCAAAAAGACGTCTCAGATATTCTCCATTACCAATCAATCGCTTGTTGGCACTTGTAGACCAGCTTCTTTTAATCTTTGTAATTCGTACCATTTTTTCAGTTATACCAGATCTTATGATGCTACTGAAACATATGAAATCGTAGACGGTGGAGGATGCAACACCTATAGCATGCCAACTGGAGTACTGACTAAGTGAAAGAACGCCGGGTGGTTTTCGTAATTTAAAGTTCTTGTCCGAATCAATCACATTAATAATTAATACTGGTGGCCACTGAACCACTTCAAGATGCCGAGTTGTTTGCTTATTACATGTACAACAGAGTATATCCGATAGAATTGGTGCGAAAAATCCAGAAATTTGATGCTCAATATGTAAACCGGTTGTAGGTACATATATTGGAATTGATGTTATTGTCATTCTCTTCTTTACCATAGATTGACATTGTTTACATGAATGAATTTTGTCAACAATCACTTTACATGATAATAACGGAATAAGAATATGTTCAAGAATAAATGTACAACGTTCAGAAAGATCATTTGATTCATCTATTGGTAAGATAAATGCAATTGTTGCAGCACGAGTATTATTTGTTGTTTTACTTGACCATTCTTCAATAAATGTTGAAATTGCATCAAGCAATGGAGAAACATTTGATGATGATAATGATGAAATACGATGACAATGATGAGAATTATTTCCAATTGACAGAATTAGTCCAATAGCAATATTTAACCAATCTGGAGATAATGATGGTAGTTTAAGATTAGCATTAACATTGCTTCTAGACGCTAATAAAGACGAAACAAGATCGGTAAACACTGGTTCATCAGGTCTTTTTGTATAATGACCATGACCTCTTTTGCTGCATGATTGTCGCCATCGTTCTTGAATTGGCTTCAACCGACGTTCATCCAATATCATGGAATCACTATTACTTGAATTATTAGCAGGCGTCGTACAATAATTAAATAAAGTATTTGAAAATTCATCAATCATTGTTAACATATCAGGTACTAAAATTGAGAGTAATATATCAAGTCGAATATGAATGTGACCGCCTAAAACAATTTAAAAATTTTATAAAGCTTTATGGTATAAAATCATAATGCAGTGTGGTTTTAATAGTATGTTTAGGTAGATAATTCATTATCTAATGAATTATAGACTGAAAAATTGTTTATATTTTCCCCTCAATATTAGAAGTCGTATTGATAATAGTTGTGTTGCTATCTATCTTTTATTTATTTATTTTTTACCAGTAACACATTTTAGAAGAAAAGATGCTCATAATTAATTTGGCTTTAATGATAGAAATAGAACAGTTTAATTTCCTTTTCTATTGCTGGCTTAACGAAAATCGGATTCTAAGAATTTTTTAACATGAAAACGAACTTTTATGACTTTTTTTCAACAAGAATGATGATGAAATGTTTGCATTACCTAATTGAGTACGCTTCAAGATGCACATGCGTCTCTCACTAATTGCTGTTGTTCGTTGCTGCGGATTCATAATAAGTATTCGTTCATAAGATTGAACAATACGACGATGACGAGTAAGATCACCTAAACGGAGAAATATTATTGATATAGATATGTTTCAGTCAGCAAAGAAATATTTTTACCAAGCAACAAGTTTGACCATATAGCTAATGTTGGCATAAAATAATTTCTTAAGTGATTAAACCACTTCAAAATACCTTGAGGGGCAGCACCAACAGCGTCTTCTAATGATATACCAGTAACAACAAGTACATCGTAAAAAACTTGGTTAATGTCAGTTTTAAACGGTGAATCGGTGGCATTTGCTTCTTGTTCTTCGTCGACAATTATCTACTTATGGCAGATAAAATATAGGTAAGTTTAAAAAAAATTGTTAAAAAAAGTTTTTCTTCATAATAGTCTATTCTTTCCTTCGTCAAAAAATTACTTAATCATTAAATTAGCTTTCTAACCTTTTGTTTTGTTACTCTTGGAAAATTTTTATCTAATTCAACAGTATTATATTCTTCTTCATCATCATCATTGAAGGCATATGAATCAAATTGAGATTCTTTTTTCGAATTGTCATCTTCAGCAGATTCAATGGATTTAATAGTTTCAACAGTATTTGTATCAGATTTAATCTTGTTTATTTTATCAAGCAATGTATCTTGATTTTCTCTGTTAACATGGCTTTCACCAAGATGAAGTTGAAGAAAAACAAGACAAATTAATTTCCAATTATGTTTGAATTCGGACCAAGTTGAAGTATTGATTAATAAGGCCATGGACCACATGGCTAGTTCACGAAACTGTTCTTGAATGTACTTGTTGATAGTTTTTCGAACATCCTATAAAAGCTTCAGTAATGAAGGAAGAATAGATAAATACACTGACCAATAAAACGTGCGAAAGACAAGCGTGAATATTGGTCTTATCAAAATCAGTACGATCAGCAGTGTTATTCACTATTCTGTATGCTCTATAGAGAAAATCTTTCATAGACTCATTATTCCATATTTGAAGAGAACCAAGCAAAAAGACTTGAGCTCGATCACTTAGTACTATTTGTGGCCGTGGAAAAGGTTTACCAACAAACACCTAAATACAGAAATTAATTATAAGATATAACTCAACATAAACATTTAAATGTTTACCTGGGAATAACTGTACTTGAAAAGTTGAAGCCAATGTAATATGTTTACTAATGCGTGCACATCACTAATCATAAATGTCACCGGTATAATACTATTTTCCGTGACTATACCGGGTAGGGTCATGCTAAGTTCATAATACAATAAACGAGGTGCATTTTTTTTTCTTGAATAACACTGCCAGTAGCGTCCCAAGACAAAACAACATTTTTATGCTTTAATAAAGTATCAAAAAGACGAATTGAAGATTCTGTGTAAACGACTATTTGACATGGATATTTACTGATCTGCTGAATTGCACCTTTTATTTTACCATCAGGGTTAATCTCCTTATGAAACTTTTCATTTAATTTAAGTATTGATTGATCAATATCCAATGATAATAAGGATTCATTAACATGTTCCGACTTTATTTTTCTTAAAATATCTTGAGTTTTACCAGTAATATCATAATTATACGCTTTTTGTTCTTCACGAGTTCTCTTTTGCAACCGTTCTTGATGTACACGATAAACAGTCGCACCATGCGCAAATTTTTTTTTTATCAAAGAACGAATCGGTTCTCTGATCGGACGACAAATTTTTTTTCCACAAATATGCATAATTGTTCTATTTGTAACAATAATATGACTATCACCATTGTTTATAACAATTAAAGAGCATGCGAATGGACAAGTAGGACGACCAGCACAATAGAGAATACATCGTAATAATTGATTATGATTACTAGTTCGTACACCAAAACTACAATTTCTAACGCATAAACCACAATATTTGTTAAATTTTTTTATGTATGGTAGAAGAATATACAAATACTCTACATCCACCCTTGATTCTTTTTTCTTCTCTTGAAATGGATCAAATGAAGCACCTAAAAGTATTGGAGAAAATAACACTAGCAGTAGTATAATATACGAAGATTTACAGTGAATCTTTTCCCTATCAATATAAGAATGACTTTAATTGATATTTTGGTGTAATAAAGTTTTACTTTCTTACATTATCATCAGTGCTTTTCCTTTAACGACTATATTAGTTTTCAAAGCACAAAACGGAAAAAGTAAACTACTAATCTAATTTCTTGTCATGCTTTTAAACCAAGTTTTTATTAGATTCTTTTTGTTGATAATCTCACTAAGATCTTGTATGAATGGGCAACCAAACTCGTATTGTGAGGTTCGAACTATTTTTTATTGTTTTGATTTCTTAGTCATACTATTTGTTATCGTTTAAAAAGCCGAAAATAAGAGGTGACCTTAAAGCACACATAAGTTTGACTCAATATACTAAACAGCATAAAAGTTTGTTACAATCTATTCGTATTACCTGGTGTTTCAGTAACCTTGTCCATCATACCACGTATTGCTTTAGCTTGTTTTGACAAAAATATTTTTTTTTGTGATTTATCATCAATTTCAGTGGGTAAACCCATTGCTTCAAATACACGAGCAGTTTTCTTATTAATTTTTGTTGCTCGAATTGATTTTAGTTTCATCAAGTCAATTGATTGTAATTTGAATTGATATGATGGTGATAACTGTACGTTAAAATTTTTGTCATGTTGAGAATCTGTAACATTCATGCTTAGTTGTGAACCTGAAACAATAAATTTTTACATTAAATGAAAATTCTATATAAAAACTCCAAATTAAGAAAGAAGTAGATCTTATATTTAAAAAATCTTTTCATGTCTTAATTATAAATGATCCAATTTATGTCGAATTGAACAGAAAGAGAACAAGTTGCTCACTATAAAATCGGTTAGTCCTCAAATGAACTTGAATTAAAATGAACTGTAACTAACCAACAGCGATGTTTGAATTTGAACACGGTTGAGACTGTGTTGAGTTGGTAGATAATTGAGTAGAATCATTACTAAATAAAACACGTCTCTTTGATGGTAATGGAGTATGCTGTGATTGAAAATTTAAAAGTGAACTTGGTGTACCGGATACAATCAAATTATCTACAATATCAATACTATCTTTTTGGCATCAATGTTTAAAATTTTTACTAGAATGTTGCTCAGGATGATTTGTGTTTGATATGATTTCTATTTGACTTTCAGTTTGACACTCAATTGGTTCTGCAATATTTTTTGGAAATAATGGAGTTTTTAATACGGAGAGATTTTCCTTTAAAGATGAATGACTACGAGAAGTACCTAAAATCAAGAGAAATGAACATATGAAACATGTATCAAATTTTATTTACTTTCATGCAAATTTAATGAACTTGTATTCAAAATAGAACTGCCTGCTCTAACGTTTCTTTTTGGCGATTGATCGTCAAAGCCAGAAATATTTAAGGAAAAATTTGAACAAATCTGAAAAATATTAATCAGATAAATATTGTAAAATTCGGAGTTTTTCTTACCGTTGTATGATCTTCAATGGTTGTATATGTTTTCTCATAAGGACGTATTGGAGTAGATGAAAATAATAAACGTGATGGTTCTTTACAATTTGCATAAACTTCTGTTTCAGGTACAATTATGTTGCCTTCAGCTAATTTGCTGTAACACAAAATGTAAGAATCATTATCAGCAAGTACTTTATCTAAATTGGTTTTTGTGATTGATGCATCATCAGCTTTGTACCATAAATTGTCAGGTGATCGCACGTATGAAAAAATATGACCACTATTCACAGTTTCACCAATATGTACCACAACAGCATTCAATTGATAGATGTATTGATGAAATGTATGATTTTCTTTATTTGATTGCAGAACTTCTGGAGTAATAAATGATGAGAAATCCAGTAACTCTGGATATGAAATAAATTGCTTTATTTTACGAATGATTTTAGCTTGTTTATCATAAACAAAACGTTTGAGGTGGATAAAAATTACTGGTGATGCATCAATAAGTTTTGTTGATCGTAATGCTAATACTTTAGTTTGACACTTCGAACAAAAAAACATATCATCACCGGCCAATTCTTCTACTGAACAAAATGCATCAAGAGCTTGTTTAAGATTAAAATAAGAAATTATTGGAATTGACCAAACACTTTCATAATTTTGTTTATTAGTTTCATTTAGACACACTGTACATTTTGTTGATGATTTTATGTTAATACCAAAAATAATATGAATTGGATTAGATAAATATGTGACATATGATGATGAATTAATAGGTGAAAGACATTGTATCAAATGATCAAAAAGAACAATTAAAAGTTCTGATGGATCTTCTTGACGACCAGGTATGAAGTTCGAAGATAACTTTGTCATTTGTCGAGCCAAAGAGACACCTGATGCTTGAGATAATTCAGAGAATAAATCGCACGTATTGTGCAAACTTTGATGAATGCTTTTGATAATAGATCGAAGAATACAACAAGAACAAAATTCATCATTTGTTGTTAATGTACCTATAAAATGAAAATAAATTCAATATGTTATTGTTTACAGATTGATACTCCCATTTCTATTGAAAAAAATTCAAGGCTTAAAAAATGAGATTAGTTCCTTAGTGGTTCTCGTTAACTCATCGTATAGCTTTTTTCATAACATGAGTAGTATATCTATGTACAAATAATCTGCGATTATTCTTTCAACATATTAAATCCTTGTCATCTTTTTCTTCAGTATAAATGTAATACATATTTTCGAAACAATCGGCATGTATAATAAGCACTCTAATTGATATACATATACACGCTATCAAGAACATTCGTATGTTAAATTGTTTAATTGCAGAGCAATTATATCATTACCATTCAATTTTTTTTCATTTCAATCGTAGAAAAAAATGATTTCAGTTATTCTTCATACAACATGTCTCGTTCAATGTATGTTTCTAAGTAAACTATTGCTACGTACTTCCATCGTTTTATTTAAGAGATATGTGCGCGTATGTTTTTTTTTAATGTTTCGTACAAACGTCATCACAGCCATATACATACAGCAATTTATACCAGCTATCAATGGAAACTAGAGCAAATTACGTGTTTGTCTTTTCGTGATGCTTTCTAAGTGTGTAAGCAGATAAAGAACTTCAACCCAGGTTTTTGCTTTGTTTCAGATAAAAAGAATGCCAGACATTGAGATAAACAGCAATATATATATATATATATGCAAAGATCTTGAACAAGGATAAAAATAATCCTTATCTTACTCAGAATCAAAAGAACAAGCATTTATGCTGGTGGTATAAAACTTAATAAAGTTTCATTATAAAAATAAAACTACATCTCATTTTAAATGGTAGACAAGAATCACAATGAACTAAAATAATACTTGTACTTGAATCATTCTAGATCTGGTGAAAAATAAGCAAATTTAAACATGAACACGGTTTAATTATTCGAATGAAAATATGAACCAGGATAAGTTCACATGTATATTTTTCATATCACTCTTCCATAAAATAGCGAAAAAAAGCATACGCTCATGTTCTGAATAAAACGATAGAAAAAGTAGAAATATATTTGTTAGAACATACATATACCGAGATATGTTGTGTAAATAATAATTTAAATCATTTTTTCTACGATTGAATTGAAAGAAATTGAATGGCTATGATACAATTGCTCTACAATTAAACAATTTAACATACAACTGTTTTTGATAGCATGTAAATGTATATCAATTAGAGTATTTATCAAAGATGTCGATTGTTTCGAAAATGTGCTAAATTAATAACTTAGACAGTGATGAAAAAGACTTCATAGCTGGAAGAAACAGAATTTTCTTCGTCAATAGTAATGGATGATGCTATTTTGAGTATCAGACAAGACAATTTCAAAGTTTTTATCTCTGTAAGTTTCGGTTTCCAACTTGCTCGTTTATTCTTAGCCGAAGGTGATATTACTTTAATTGTTGATTTTTTTAATTGAATAGGTTACTTACATATGTTATGAAAATCATCATTTAACAACCATTGAACGAATGGAGCAGTATTGGCTAGACATTGAAGGATAGAGTTCATATAACAAATATTTAAACATTTTTTTGCTGCACTTGTATTACTGAGCCCCAGACCATGAACACGTGTAATTGACCATTCCATTTTCAGTTGAGATGATGTTAATGGAACAGTATCATGAAAAATTTTCTTTAAACGTTTCACTGGTGTTCCTTGAATCTCTTGTGTTTCGATGTTGCAGCAACCTGGATATAGATTAAGATAGAAAAAAGGATAATATATACAAAAGAAAAATAATCATTTATCTCACCATTAGCATCAGATGCATAACTTTTGTCTAAAGATGGTGAATGAATGATGGTGGATTTTGATGAAATATTTCTTTCTAAAAATTTATAAATATAATAAATAAATCAAAATCTTATAAGTCTTACGTTTATTAAATAAAACACTTTCTTCAGTAAAATCAGAAGGTGCAACATGAGCATCTACAAGTATAGTAATTTCTATTGAAAGTTATATGAAAAGCCACAAAATGAATATTACGAGATTCAGTTGGGATTAAACGTGTAGCACTTGTTTGGTTTTCAATTGACGAAAATGTTGGTCGAGTAAAACTTCTTTTTGTTGGATGAACCTGTGAAAAAAAGATAACAATATCTTCTAAATTCGAATTATATTATACTGACTGCATTGGTGGTGAAATCAGGATTCGTTTTATCTTTTTTTGGTTCACTATCATTCGATGCCGTGATATTGCGTAAAAAAACAGTTGCCACTTGCTTTAGATTTTGACTATTTTGAATATCACGTATAAGCATAAATGGAATATTATGAGCAACAGCCACCAATGCAGAATCAACACCTTCTTCAATTTCCTTTATACAACGTTCAAGTACACGTTCAAGTTTTACCGATGATTTGGAACCAAATCTTTTTTTAATATCTATGCGATCACCGTATAAATCTTTTTTAATTTGATCAACATGAATACGGTGCATATGTGCAATTAAATCAATTGATACTGATTCACCAAACTCATCCCATGCATCAAGTACTGCTGCAGCTCTATTTTGAATTCGTTGATAATGAAGAGGTAAATGACCATTATGCTTGGCACCATTAACCGTACGAACATTAACAGGACTCATTATGACTTTTATATAGATTATCTAAATTTTATAAAAATAAATTATTATTGCACATGAAACAGAGAATCAAAAGTTAGATGAACAATGACTAAAGAAAGCAAATTGAACAAGTCGTACAATGCAGCTTTCAGCAGTTTTTAATAAAAATCTCAAATAGAGTATTTCATTCATTATTATGTTGAGCATTATCAACGCTAACTGTTTGTAATCTTTTATCGAAGAATTTATCAATTTTATTTATTTCATCATGAAAAATCGTAAATCTAGATTCAAGATAAAGAAAAAATAGTGTTGCTGCTTGTACTTACTGAATATTTAATAGTAGATTGAAAAACTAATTATAACGTGATAGATATGAATTGCTTCAAAACTAAATATGTATAATAAACAATAACAAATGAAGAAGACACAGATGAACGACAAAATTCGAGATCTAAAAGAGGAAGAGGAATTTCAATCTTGATGATGACTTTTTAAGACTAAAAATATATGCTTCAGAGCTCCATCTAAAAGTAGAGCATAGTAACAACGAAAAGTGATTAAATTCTAAATCATGGCATTACAAATAACAGAAGTATCTTTTTTTATTTTATGAAGCTTCATCGTGATACTATATTTCTTACAGTGAAGGGCAAAGCACAGTACATTTTAAACATCATAATAACTTCGAGTACTTTGCATTTGCTTAAAGTATTTAATACAGCAGTCGCAGCGGCATATACCCAAAAATCAGGAAAACAAGCAGGAAAAGTTTTAATAAAAATCAGGAATTTATAAAAAAATCAGGAAAAGTTAAATTCATTTTTATACTACTTTTCAGGAACAAATTTTCATCAACGTGTAGGGAGCAACTACGATTAATTAGAATTAAAGTGTAGAAATGCTGTGATTATAGATACACACTGCCCGTGCAGATGGCGGAGGAGACCGCGACGTTTGCGCGGATCGTCCATGTCGTAATGTCAAATATGACTCTTTTTTTGACCATCATGTTTTAATTACAGCAGCTGTTAAACCCTGTTGTTATGAGTTTTTCATAAAAAGAATTTGCATCAAACGTTGCAAAGCTAAGAGAAGGGATTCAATCGTTGACAGACTGAATCTTTATAAGATAGTTTTAGTTTCATAACCTCATTTTTGTACTCATTTGTTAAATTTATGAATAAAATCTTAACCATAGTTGATTAAAAGATATCTTGGTAACAATGGTCCTAACTCAAAACTTAGTGAATTTAATTGTGATGAACATAATATTTATGTTCACCTTCAACTTAGGCTTGTGCAGATTTAAGTGAAAAATACGTTAAAATGGAAATGAAAACCCTATATGTATATAAAACGAATGGTTCATAATAAATTAGTCATTTTTCTTCTGTCTTTTTGAGAATCTTAGAAATTTTAACAATATCATTAAAAAAGAGTTTTCTTGTCTACACGATGATAACTCTGTTTACCAAAAGACATTATCTATTCATATGCAAATAAAAACGAAACCAGAAGTGATAGAAAAATTAGTAGTACATCCTGTAACATGTTTCAAGCTTTTTTTCTGTTGGTCAAACTCGTTTAATTAAAATATTTTTGTGATCGGATACATCTGCGAACACAATTTGCGCTTTATAGGTAGATAAAGTCAATTGAGAAGTTTGTTTGTTTTGAAGTTTATCAATATGAAAACGAATTTAGCAGAAAATAAGATTTCGCTTGACATCCATTTTTTAACGTATTCTGGACTGATATATATTTATACATATTGATTGTCTTTTTATTTTGTGTTCAATATAGGCTTCGATGCAGTTCTTCGAACAAATGTTTTCATCTGATATTATATTCAGCGCGCACTGCATCTTTTCCTTTCGTCAGTCGATGATGTGATTTCTCTTTCCTTCCTTATAAGAGTTTTTATTTAACTATTTCAACCAAATTTTTTGTATGAATTTAACTTTTTCAAACTGAAAATTCACTTTGAGCAACACACAGTCTTGTAGAATATTTTCATTCAAAGATAAAGGTTTGATTTTGATATATCGATCAATAAAAGTGTTCAAATATAACTATTAGAATCAGTTCTGTTGTATTAAAGGGGCAGTACTGATTTTCATACTTTTTCTGTTTAGTCTGTTTTGCATATGAAGGCAACATTTTGTCTACGGACTTAATATTCTTACAAGGCAGAAAGTTCTCTATTTTTTTCTTTAGAAATCATGTTTCTAGAAGCTGTTTAAGATTTTCGAAAGTACAGAAGAAAAATGGTTCATTCATCAAATGCCATCCAATATATATATGTCTATATATTTTCTAATTAAATGCTCATTCGTGATGTTTTCAACTATATATTGTTGTCCCTACGCAAGTGTTCGGAAATGAAACACTATTTTCAAGAAATATAATAGCGCAACAGATATGAAAAAGAATTAGGGAACAAATTTCTACTTGTCATTAGACGCGACTGCTCAGCGAAAAGATTTTAGGGTTCCGGTTGACTTCACGGACGTTTCGCGATCATTACCGACCTTCGCACCGCATTCACCTAGTTTTTAGGCACGATACACATCTCTGGTTGCTAATGCTAAGCTAACTATTTTGAAAACTCAATTATTTGAAAATATTGGAAACTTACATCGATTACGAAAAAACAAAAAAAAAACGAATGGCTGGAATAATTATTATTTGAGCATCATCTTTATTTTTAGTTTAAGATATACTATAGATATTTTTAGATAACTTTTGAAAAATAAATTGATTATAATAAAAGAATGAATTATAATCGTTTAGATATAGTACTATAGGAATAAATCAGGAATAAATCAGGAAAAATCAGGATTTTTAGTTAAAATCAGGAAAATCAGGACACTTCTAAAAAAACAGGAAAAATCAGGAAAGCAATACCACTGCGAGGCCTGTTAATATAAAAAATATTGATCTGATAATTGTCAATGACGAATAAGGAAAAAATAGATAGATTGTGGTAAAATCTGGAGTCGAATATAATTGGTTTATTCGGTCTATATGAAGTGAGCAATAATCCTTTGGCTGACATGTTTGGTTCACTTATTATGACCAAGTAGAATCGATATTGTTATAATAATTATTTCTAAGTGATATTATGGTGGATATATATAATACAGATGCCGTTAGTAGCTAACTATAGAAATAGATTCAACTCTGTTTTTCTTTTATTTTGAAAAGGAAGGGTGAAAAATTAATACTTTGTTTTTCTGAAAATTTAAAGAAATTCAAAGCACCAACTTTACTCTAGAATATCAGCTAGCCGATCCGATTCGATCGAAAGCANACGACTATGTTGATTACGATCACGTTCACGTTCACGACTTGATTCTTTTTCTCGTCGATTATTACTTGATGATGTTTTATCTTGTTGTTTATGAATGATTTTTTCAATTTTTTCAGGTATATTAGGTATTATTTCTGGAGGATTAACTTTTTCCTTTATTGTTCTATAAAATATATAAATGAAAATTAAATTTTCTTAAAAGCAAAAAACAAATAACATACATTTCATCTTCATCATCCCATTTCGATTTACTAACAGCTGCCGGTATCTGTGATTCTTGTGGAATGTTAACAAAATTATTTGATGGTTCAAGTTGGGCTGCACTTGTTTGGGCAATCATACGTAATTCTTCTTCAAGACTCACATGTTGTGCTGCTTGGGCTATTGATTGTCGTTCATTAAATTCTTCTTCATTTTCCCAACGTTTACGTCGTTTTGTTGATGGAATTGGTGTTGGATTTGCATCATTTTTATGTTGTATTTGAGAACTATTGATTTCATGTTGTTCAACCACTGCTGGTGATGATGAACGAATATGAGCAGCAGCAGAAGAAGAAACTGGTGGAGTATTTGAACGACGATGACGTGATCGAGAATCTTTCATTTGATGCTGTTCAACTTTCGGTGATGGCGAGCGAACTCGAGCAGATGCCGGCGGTGGTGGAGTTGTTGAACGATGAGGACGTGATCGAGAATCTTTAGCTTGATGATGTTGATCAACTTTTGGTGATGGCGAACGTACTCGTGAAGATAATGGTGGAGGAGTCTTTGAACGACGAGGACGTGCTCGAGAAGCCGATGGTGGAGTTGTTGAACGATGAGGACGTGCTCGAGATTCCTTCGTTGGATGATGTTGATCAACCTTTGGTAATGGCGAGCGAACTCGTGAAGATGAAGGCGATGGCGTTTTTGAACGACGCGGACGTACTCGAGAATCTTTTGTTTGACGTTGATCAACCTTCGGCGATGGCGAGCGAACTCGAGAAGATGAAAGTGGCGGAGTCTTTGAACGACGTGGACGCGTTCGAGAATCCTTAGCTTGACGTTGATCAACCTTGGGTGATGGTGAGCGAACTCGAGCAGACGAAGGTGGTGGAGTCTTTGAACGACGAGGACGTACTCGAGAATCTTTCGTTTGACGCTGATCAACCTTTGGCGATGGCGAGCGAACTCGAACGGGTCGAGGTGGTGGACTTTTCGAATGTTGAGGACGTGATTGAGGTTTATTATTTTCATGTTGATCAGCCACTGGTGACGGTGAATGAATTCGAAACGAAGAAGCTGGAGGAGTTTTTGAACGACGATGATGACGTGATGATTGTTGTTGATAGGATCGAGAATTTTTTGTTTGACGTCGGTCATCTGTCACTGATGGAGATTGATGACGACGATGAGATCCTGAATCTTTCTTTTGATGTTGTTCACTTGTTGGTAATGGTGAATAAGCTCGAGGAGAATGACGATCTGATGGTGGTGGACTATTTAAAGTCATATTTGATGCATCATTTTCCTTATGTTTAGTACTGATTGATCGATGAATATTTGGACTTGAAGAATTTCGTTGATTTTTATGTTTTGATGTTGATTGAGTTGGATGATGATGATCATCATCTTTTCCTTTTTCATGTCGACGTGAATGTCGATCTTCTCTATTATTATCATTTTTTTCATCATCAATACGTTTACGTTTATGATTATTTTCCATATTTTCATTTGTATTTTGTTTGCGATATTCATTTACGTCAGAAAAACGTTTACGATCTTCAACTGCTAAACGCCAATGTAGTGGTGTACGTGATCTTGAACGACTTTTCCCAGTATATCGCTATATAGAAAAAAAAGGAAGAAGATTTGAAAAAAAAAAAAAACAACAACATCATCATACCATAAAACCACGACCTTTAACTGGACGACCACTTGAATCAATTTTTTTTGATGAACGATAATTAGTCGTACTGAAGAAATGAAATATAATTGTTCATATAGATTAAAAGATTAATAAATTTTCTTACCGAGTATTTGATGCTTCATTATTATTATTATTATCACTTAACATTGGTCTCATTAGAAATTTATGAGCAGGTATTTCAGGTATTTCATCGGGATCAATTGTTGTTTTAAGACCCATTATATCAAGACCGGATATTTCACTTGATTCTTTAAGGATATTATTTGTTGATTCATCAGGTTTATTTTCTTCTGCAACAGCAAGTTGTGCTAAGCGTTTTGCTTCTTTCTTTCGTTGATGTTTTTCTTTTTTTTTACGTTTAGATTTTTTTTCTTTTTTATCTTCATCATTAGATGATGAACTACTTTCACTAACTTGTTCATTTCCACTCTCATCTCCTGTTGATATTTTATGTTTCTTTTTCTTATGAGTTTCTAAATGAAAAAGTACATTATAGTCGTAGTTTTTTTTCTTAATAATAAATTTTAAAAAAATTGATTAGTTTTACTTGATACAATTTCAAGTTGACCACAATGCGATATGATAACATCTTTCAATGGTCGACTATTATTAGAATCAACTGGTATATTTTCAATTGCATCAACCACCGGTTGTCCGGATACAACATGACCAAAAACTACATGTTTACTGAATATAAAAACAAAACGAATATTAAAGTCTAATAAAAGCTGTCTAGTTAAGTGATCAAACTTCTCTTTTACGAAGTTTACTAGTAAGCATTACAGTTAGCAATAGACTACTAGCCGAAGTCTTCTAAAATATATGTTTCATATAGCAATAAACATCAAGAAATTTGATTAAAATATTACTGTTCCTATCTCATTAAAACTTGATTGTTGGAAACATGATCTAACAGCAATGTTAAAAATTCGGAAGCCTCTTCTCACAAAGGCTATTCAGATACCATCATAGACTTTAAGAACCGTTAGGTAGAGACTGTCACAGGCAGCGACAGACTCGATTCAGGAATCGTCACAAATCGTGGCAGGCCTCAACTAGAAACCAACACAGAGCGCAATAAACGTTTGGAAGAGACTATTACAGACGCTAGACAGAAACTATCACAGTCCGTGAAAAAATTTTTTAGAGACCATCATAGACGTTGTTGGTACATTATCAAAAACCATTTATCAATAATGTCTCGTTCTAATATATGAACTAATTTCTTCATGTCTGAAGGATTTTTATTGTTAATTTCGATATTATGACCCGTTTCTGAACGTTTGTTTAAAGTTCTAATGAAGCTTCTCTTTTTTTATTAAATACAATTAGACTTTGAAAAATCTTACTCGTCGAGATGTGATGCTTCAGATGTTGTACTAAAAATATAAGACAGCAATTTTTTTTTTTTTGTTTTTAAATCCATCGAATAAAAAATAAATTAATTAATTTTCTTACATGAAAAATTGCGATCCATTTGTGTTTGGACCTCGGTTAGCCATCGAAAGAAGATATGGTCGATCATGTTTCATTTGAAAATTTTCATCTGAAGAAAAAAAAAATTTTTTTATTATAATATTATTATTCAAATAATAATAGAAATCTTTACCATTAAATGTACCACCATAAATGGATTCGCCACCCGTGCCGTTGCCTGGAATTAGACCAGATAGACAGAAAAAATCGTATATCAATTTATATTATTCAACACCCGCTTTTGATGCGCGGTGACTAAAAGAGATAAAGTAGAATTCAACGAGTATCATTTTCCTTCTATCTTTTCCCTTTTATTAAAATATAAATTGATGATCAGAAGAGTTCAATCAACAAAATAAAAATCGAATTATTACCTTCCGTAAAATCTCCTGATTGAATCATAAAATTTTTCACTACTCGATGAAAATGACAACCTTTATAATATAATTTCTTATATAATGTTAAACCACGACCTTTTTCTCCTAAGATCCAAAAAAATAAAATGGAAAACCAATAAATTAAATCTTCAAACTACAGAAAAACAATAACTTTACCTGTACATAAACATCGAAAATTTTCGCATGTACGCGGACATATATCATTATAAAGTTCAAAGACAATACGACCAGCTAAAGACAACAAAAGATAACAAAAAAAAAAACTTTACGATAAAAATTCTTTTGCATATATGATACCATCATTGCCATCAATTTTGATATCAAAGAAACAGCGTAACCTAGATGTCATATCTAAAATATGATTCTATTGTAATAGATCTAGTAAGGCTAATTTAACATCAATATAATAAAGTATATGATTCGACCATTAATCATGCACATAAAGAATAACATAAAAGACAAAGAGAAAAAAAAATAAACAATAAATAACAACGGATGCTTGTTTCGTTCTATTCTATTATTGTATTGTTTTTTCATTCATTGGTAGAAAAAATTAACTAATAACAACGATGTTTTATTTATTTTTTTACAATAATATTCTTCTCATTGATTGTAGTGACATTAAAAAAAAAGAAATCAAATATTCTAGCGCGAGAAAATCATTGTTTCGTTTAAATAAAACATTTTTAACATGGGTGCAAATAATTCAAATTCGAAATATCATGAAAATATTTGTAATACACCACCAAAAAAAAATGTTCAACTTTTATTTGATCCACGATCTCCTAGTGGTAAATGAATATTTGTTAATTATGTTAGCTTTTAATAGAATTTGTTTTTTATTATTAAGATGCCATTGCTCGAACACCAATTCAAATAGATAGTCAAGTGACTATACAATCTTTAAAAACATATAATCATGCTATGCCACGTATTACTGGACCAGATATAAGCATAGATGAAGAAAATCATGAATATAATCATTATGAAAAGAAAGTTGATAGTAAAGAAAATGAATCAAAATTTTTAATTGATATTGAACCAACATTAGATCCAAATAAAGTATTAAATGATATGACTACTAATAAAAATAAACAATTACCACCGTACTAATTATGAGTATTTCTTTATATATAGATCGAATAGTAGATGTTACATGTGTATATTTATATGTAATTAACTTTTTTTTTTTCGTTATCTTGTATTAGTTCTTTTTCTATATTAATAATAAAACGTCGACTGTTAAGTAAAAATTTATTAAAAAAGCAATTAATTTTGCATTTCAATGAAAATCTACACATTGTTGAGTTTTCATTAATATGTATGACATTAATCAAAGACAACTAAGACGTGATTGGAAGATTTTTAAATAAGACGTTTGTGTGCTTTTCACTTGCTAGAAGAAATTTCCGACGAGTCAAAAGAAGATTTTTTGATTAGAGGAATGGAGCTTTCACTTAAAATCTTTGTATTACTGCTATGTTTTTATAGTTTTATGGTAACGTTAGGCAGAAACCAGATTTTGAAACACTATTTGCCTTCTTCTGGTAGAAAGTGAAATACAAATAAGGTGATAATGTTGTGGTGAGGTGAATATGTTACATTGCATTTCATTGTGCTCTTCTCGCACTCCGAGGATGAAAACATTTAATGCTAAACTTTTAGCCTTTTGCATTCCTAAAAAATATGAACAATCCTGAAAAAAAGGTATCAGTTAGAGCCAGAATTTTGTCTCAGTCTTTGTTCGAAAGTAGTGAAATAATCTTTGAAAGGTCGAAAAAATTAGTTTGAACAGCACTTCCAGGTGAGCGTCTCCGACGAATATATTTGTTCGTTTTGGTCTGATTGAAGGCATTTTACACGAGTCAAAACACTATAAGTCAAGATCAGAGTTTGAATACCAGCTTCGAAAGTCTATGTCTACTTTTGTTGAAGAGTAGTAAGGGACTTTTTGAAAGACCTGAAAAATTATCTTTGATGGTGAGCCAATAGGCTTTATTTACCATATATGTCCTTTTTCAACATGCTAAAAATTGTCCAAGTCGGTCGATTTGTAAAGCAGACATTTCTCTAGAAAATGTGATATAGAACTATGGTGTAGCTTTTACCCGAACATTGTTTAAAGAACTCCTTGCAACGTAAAACTTTTATCAATTTTTCAAAAATGAGTATTTAGAAAAAAAAGAATAGCAAGATGTCTTGTTGAACGGGAAAAAAGAACTTAAGATAGCGCATTTTTTAGTTTAGTTTCTGATCTACAAGCTGAAATATAGATAAGGACATCAACTTATAGTAAAAGATTATTTCCCTACTTGCAAACAAAAACTGAAATGAAATTTCTAAACTCACATTCTAACAAAGCACAAAATCATAGTTTTTGACTGATTGAAAACGCTTTGGCGTGTCAAAAATCGTATCCAAAAACTTCTCAACCACCTGTTATTAGTTTTATGTTGATTGAAAAGAAAACATAAATCAAAATGATTTCTTTCTGACCAGTTTAGAGCTTCTTTCAAGAACCTTACCACGAATATGTTTTTGTTTCACAAGCGAAACCATATATACTGATGTCGAAAGTTATTTCTAGGAGGAAATATGCATTATAATATTCTATTCAGTGAAAATTCATCATAATAAACTTAGTATATTTTATTAACTCGTATTGGTATCAAAATATCTTAACGAAAAAAATCAAATAATTATTTAGCATTGTAACTTTGTTATAGATGATTTATTTTATCTATTATTTATAACGTATACGACGCACAGATATAAGAGATAATAAAACGAATATCATATATGAAGCGAATTATGAGTACAATTAATTGATAATGTTTATTTGTGATAACTATTTGTTTAGTGCACAAAGCATATGTGGCAGTCCGCGTAAGCCACGACTGAAATCTGTTTAATAAGAGATGCCAAAATGTTGCTTGCACCGTCAATCAGTTCTTGTTCGTTGTGTTTGAAAACAAAAAAAAACGTTTGAGCAATATCCTATCTATTTCTTTGGAGAAAATCTTTTGGAAACTGATTTTATATTGTGCTTCTATACGAATCTTAGAACATTCCATCGAAACATTTTAATACCTCAAGAAAGGTTAGAAAGTTGGATCTATATCTATAACAATGTGTTCTAAAAAGTAGGGTAAATGTCACTGAAATCTAAGATAATGAGTGAGGATTGATGTCCTGGATGAATACGACTTTTCACAACCAGATCTGGACAGCTATATTCGAAACCTGACGAAAGCTAATCGACATCCAGTAAATACTTCCACAATCACAGTACAGTTTTCAAACTTGCATTTTACATGAAAAAGTATACTATTTAATTTGTTCCATAAATAACAACAACAAAGAAACCAATCATTTCATATTCCATACAAAAGCAAGTGATTCAGGATGCACTTGGTCTCTTTCAGTTTCTAAAATCTGATTAAATTCACGAAGTATACATTTGCTGATTACTGGTGACACTAAAACGGAACACGATATTGGTGTCAAACGTTATTATTGTGGATACATACATGAATACTTTTCCATCGTGATAATACATATTCACCTATTTGATAATTCCTTTTCCTTTTCATGAATTCAGTTACTTCGTCATCATGTGTAGATGAATTTTTATTTAAAACAAAATTCTTTTGGTGAAAAAATATCCCTCTCTATTTCTATGACTCGTTGTCAGATACAATGAATTGCTCAATCATGACCGAACTACTTTTCACTCCTATGCTTTTATATAAATAACAGTTTAAAAAAGTAGAAATATTTTAAAACGACGAGATCTCATTAATTCCTGGTTTAGGTCTATATATGATCTCATACCAAGAACTATGCTCTGGGTCGGTCTAGATATCGGATACTCGAATGGATTGTAGGGTATTAGTAAGCATCCCTCTACAGTGATATGTCATGACTCAGATAGAATGACGGCCATATAGAATCTGTAGTCTTATGAAGTTTTCACTCGATCGCTAGAAGTCAAAAGAAAGAGAACTTATAGAAATAAATAATGAAAAGCACAACAGTAACGAAACAGGACTCTGATATCATTACTGTAGTAACTGAGTGACAGATATGATTAATGGAGAGTTTGATTTTACTATTATAGAGTGAGAAAACTGAAGAATGACTCGTAATAATATACTGGACATTTCGGCTGTTTAGATCGGTATTGGTGGCGACTCTGACCAATGTAACATTATTAAAAGCAATGGTGTTTTATGGAAACGTAGCCTTTTTGAAATAGACTTTTTAGTAATTAGAAATATGTTATTGTTGATTGAAAAGATCCATCAATCAGTAGTTATTGAATCTAAAATAATAAAGAGATCGTACATAAGTTTTAACATTCCTTGAAATGTTATGAAACTTCGCAGAATTTTAAAGTCTATAGATCTATTATTTTTCTTTTAACTTCATCCGTAACACATTACTAAATGAGTAAATTAACGTTTGAAAAATTACTGTTGTAGAACAATATTGACTAATTGACAACTATCTAGTTACGAATCTTTTTAAAATATTCTGATAACAAATATTTGCACTTTCTTTAAAAAAAAAACATGTTTAGTTTGAATACATACAAAAATTAATGTTGATAACTTTATAGATGAATATTACGTATGTCTACAATCAAGAAAAAAGAAATTAAATATCTTTTATTATTTCTATACTTATATTATTTATTATTTGTTTTTTGAAGAAAATTACTTTCGAAATTCATGTCACATTTAGCAGAAAAAGATAATATTAACAAATATTTAATTATAAAAATAATTTGTACTCGATGAAAAAGAAACAGATCCTATGATTCTATGGAATTTTCACCAAAATTATCAGCAAGAAACTCTCTCATTTTTTCATATGATAACAAAGTTAATACTGCTGATGGTATTGTTCTTATTAGATTAGGTAGAAGACCACGATAAAATCCTCGTAGACCTTCTTCTTTAGCAATGGATCGGACAGCATCACGTACATTTTTATATTCATGAAACGGTATCGCTAGAGTTGAATATATCGATTGTACACGTCGTCCATGTCCAGCAACTTGAAGACGACTACGAACGATTTCATGTGGATAGGCCGAACAAGAAGCAATTAATTTCGAAACACTCGATGCAAGCATAAGTTGTCCTATCGATAGACGTTGATCAGAAGATGAATGAGTAGCTAATTTTTTCTTAAAATATTCATATAGTGGAAATTGAATACCAACATGAATCTACGAAACAAAAAACAAACAGATAACTTTTTGTGTTATGTACAATTAAAAGAGACAAACAAATCAAACTCATCCGAGTATTAAATTTGATAAAATGGTATTAACTATAGTTATTCTTCATCGAATTCACTCACATAATACTTATGTATTAGCAGCAATCTTCAATGAATCTGTTATGTTTATCAATGTTCAATAGAACTTGATTAAAATTTTAGTTCAAATGAACATAGTCACTTTCATAGAAACTGTAATATGTTGATTTATGTACTGTTAGAAGGATCAGTTTCACAAAAGCTAAGATATTTTTAGTAAAGCAAAGTAGTTTTAATATGTCAAATCACATCCTATGTAGTAACTACCGCCGGTAAAGTGATCGATTTGATATGCACTATACCGACGGTTATCATTTTTTAAATCTATTAAAATTGACAGAATTGAGTCCTTTACGCAGTAGTCTGTGATGTTGATGTGTCTCAGTCACTTGTACTAGCCACAGAGTACATATCAGGTCTAGTTACGAGATAAATTTTTATTAGTAACATATATTCTGAAAATATTTTCCTGGATGGCTGAAATTTTGAGCACAAAATTTTCGCTAAGGGCTAAATGCCTTACGAGGGAACCGTTTCAAGTGATTCACGCCGATTTTGCTTATATTTTGCCCATATGTAGGGGTCAGTATGCTAAGAAAAAGCCTAAGAGGATTTAGGCCCATGTTGCTTCTTTCGAGGGTTATGGCCATTTTACTGATTTTTCGGCCTATGACAAGGTATTTACAAAAAATTCAAATGACGAAATTATGTCTTGAAATTTTGCCCATATGTAGGTCTCATGGTCCTTAATGTATGCTACAAGTTTCACCAAGAATAAATGTTCC